GTATGCCCCACTGCGGGCACATGTCACTGTTTAATCCAAATACATGGTTTATTGTTTTGCAGTCAGTATTTTTAGCTTGGAGGCAGGTAGACCTGCAGAGCAAATAACACCAAACAATACAGCCATTACAGAAGTGCTTTTAAATTACAGCACTCTTATTCCAGAACTGAACATAGTGAGATGAATACATTGGCAAAATAATTATTTATCACCCTAAAAGCTTCCTTTAAAATTTTTATCATTCAAATACTGGCTGGGGAGAATGCAAAGGACAGAGAAACATATTTTAGGCACTTGCTGGTCTAGCTTTTATTCTGATAAGAACTTACTAAACACCAGTAAAGGGAATAGCAGTTATCAGCCCTAATTCACAACTGGGAATTTTTCAGGCCAAACAGATGCCCTTGCAGAACCCCAGCCAAGGGTCAGTGACAGCCCCAGCCCTCCTTCCACCAAAATCACCACTTGTTTCACATGGCTTCAAATGAGAGCAGGTTTGCTCCAACAATCTGAGCAAGCAGGGTGCTCTGAGTCACTCCCTGCCACACTGAGTGGGACAGGGACCTCTAACATCCCCCAAAAGAGAAAAATAACAAAAAGACACAGTCCTTTGCCTCTTTTTTTCTTTGATGTATCAGGTTTTTCTTTTTAACCATATTTTTAGCTGATTAAAAATAACCAGAAGCAGACCTTCAACATGAAACCAGCTGCATGCACTAAGAGACTTGAAAATCTCCTCAAAATCTGTTCAGAGAATTTTGCCATCCCTTATACCTGTGCAACAGCAGAGCTTGGAGCTCTCCCAGGTAGAAAGTTTGGTGCCCACATTTAATTCTGTATTCCCAGACCCATCAATAGGAGAGTCTGAAAGAAAGCTTAAGGGAGGTCAAGTGCTTTTACTGAAGCAAAGTTCTCAGGCAAATCCATATTCTTCTCTTTAAAAGTGTTCAGTGTAAGAAAAATAAAGCCCAGGTGTAAACATTTGCAAACTGAGTTTATTTTTCTTTCCTATCTATGCACTTGGAACGAACACTGAAAGGGTAAACCCATCCTAATCCTATCATGGCAATGTTTTTCTCTGCTTCCTGAAACTGAGATTATCATCTCATTGGTTGTCAGACAGCTCCTGGGAGAAGTAATTCACTGGATTTTCCTGTGTAATCACAGCACAGGATTTTATTTCTGTTGTTATCTGGATGGAAAATGCACACAGCTTCTTCTGTGTCTTGCCCCTTTCAGGTTCCTTACAGACCTGGATGTGCCAGGCTTCAAAACGCCCCAAATGCACCAAGAAAGCCAAATCTGGGCTCGCTCTAAATTGCAAGCAACTTGCTTCTTAGCAGCTCATCTCAACACATGCAGGAAAATTTCCAGTTTTAAATTTCTATTCCAATTAAGGCAATGAAGACTGAAGTCCCCTAAACTGTTGCCACCACTTTCCAGGACATAAAATTAACGATTTCTACTGCTGGGTACAACTTTCAGTCAAAGTTGGTCTGATTTATAAGCAAGCAGATGGTTCACACGATAGTCCACAATAAATTACAACAGTTAGAAAGACAGCTACATTTTGAGAGTGACAGTGCAGCTGAGCTACAGATGGGTTTATAGATGACCCTTCCAATTTTTAATAATCTTCATAATTTATCTGCAAGTAAAGAAATGTGAGAATTCCTAATGTAGCTCCTTGACTAAGTACAAATCACTTTTATTTACACAGGCAATACTTCATGGTCCAGCTATCTTCTTAATTAAAGGCAGCAAGATGCTCATGTTCCATGCAAGGCAAAAACACTGCTCAGTGTGCAATATGTTCAGCTGGGAGTTCAGGATGCTCTGAACACTCTGGGAAAAGGGAACACATCCATCTCCTTTCTTTAAAAGAAGGTTACAAAGGTGCAAACACTGCTACCACCCACTCATTAACCTCCAGCTAAACTTTAGGCTTGTAAAATGGCAAGGTTACATTTTTTTGCAAGTTCTGATGCCTGAAAACAGGTTCCCAACCCATGTTACAAATCCAGTACTACTGAGGCAGGACTAGGATGGAAAACAGCAGGAACAGAGATCCTCTTCTCTCTATAAAACCAGAAAGAATTTGGGGGGTCACTCTTGAGTGGGTGAGGGAAAAAGACAGCAAATCTTGGGGGTGTCAGATGCAGAGAGAAACTGGATGGCAGCAGGTTTAAGAAGTCAGGTCATGTCAGTGATTTCTCTGCCTGGGTCCAAACCACATCGATCCAGTCCTTCTGCTAAAATCTGGAATTTCAGTTGGGATGAGAAGCACATCTCAGTGCAGCTCCTCTGTCTGTTAAGATGATGAAGGGAGCAGGACCCAGCAGGGCTCTTTAAGGCACAGAAGCTCAGAGCTGCCCACCCAGCAGTCCCTAGGGATGACACTGGAGGGCTTTTCCTCCTCTCTAACTCTTGATCCTCCCTTCCAGCCAAATCAATTTGAAAAAAAAGAAATTCACTTTTAAGTGGAAATCCAAAACTATCATTAAAACAGAAGGCAAAGCTCCTAGGAAAGCAAGTCTGTGTGTAATTTTAATTACCAACTTCCTGGGATTCAAGAGATGCAGCAGAGAAGAGGCACCAGTGGCAAAGTCAGGCTTTCAAGAATAATCACAATTCTCATTTTGGAAATATTTTGGCAGGGGTTTCCCAGCTCTGTGTGCAGCTCTGCAGCACCACAGAGACACAAGAGTGGGAAAACCCAGGGCATAGAGCTCATGGAACTGCAGCCACTTACAGGAAAAGTGATTTTTCCCTGCCCTTTGCAGGCAGCAGCAATGCTCGTTCACCCACTACACAGAACAATACTGAAGTTAAATTTGCTGAGTTTATAAAGAAAAATAAATTAATTCTTCTATAAATAACCAGTATTTAAAAGTCTTTGGAGTTTATATGAAACCATTATTTATTACTGTACACAACTCTTAGGTTGTTTAATTAAGCATATGAAAAATTGTAGATGTCAGATTATTTCTGGGATGCTCTTTACTATGTTATTTGTCAGATTTGTTTCTGTTACTCTTCACATATTTAAAGCTGCATTATGCACTCCTGAAAACCCAGAGAAGTTCACTCTAGCATTAGTATGGATGTTCATCTGTTACTGAGCTCTGAGTTTGGCACTTCATTTTAACAATATTCATCAGGTTCAGGAACTGCTACCACGCTTCCCTCCAAGACAACACTGGATCATACTACTGCTCTTTAAAAAGATTGAGTGTTGATTATTTAACAATATTTTCAAATATTCTGTAACTATAAACCTTTGGTTGACTGAATCCTTTCATTTGCTTTCAAGAAGCCAAATTCACACACAGCACAGGAAAGCAGAAGTTGTCTGAATGCACCAACATGTCCGCTGTTGCCCCCAGCCCAAAAATAATTCCAGGGTTACCACAAGCAACCTAAAATCCAGCACAGGCTATTTCAGTTTACTGCAGAAGTCAGAGGAACGATGTGCACGGTCTGTGTAACTATGTGGCTGACACAGTTTGCAGGACTCATCTGCTGAGGGCAGCAGGGATGCTGCAGCTCCCCAGCCTGCAGATCAGAGCTCCTGGCTGGCAGCTACACCCTCCTCCAGCTAACAGCAAAAATAACCCTGGGAGGGGGATAGAGCAAGGAACACTCACAGGCCCCACCTTACACTTCTTGTTCCTGGCACTCAGTAATCTGTCAATGGTGTGTGGAAATTACTCCCACAGCCCCAGGAAAGGGACACCTTTTGTACCCCCTGATGTATTAAAATGTAGATCAATATGATAATATGGAAACAGTAAACTCCCCAGTAGCAAGAAGTAGTTCTCACTTCTCTTAGCAATCAAATGTTATTTTCATCAATGTAACTAGAGAAAAAGAAATGTAGGTAGTGATTTGTCAGCCTATTTATCAAACCAACTGCTGCACCTGGTTCCCACATATTTTATATTAAAAGGTGAATGACATGGAAGGTTTTACAGGTTCTGTTTTAATTCAGGGCTGAAAGCATTTATAGATATGAAGGTTTTCTTATTAAGTTTTCTTCCTGAATGATTATGCTTGTTCAAATGAATTCCTAGCCATCTCACAGAGGTTACAACCTTCAATAATTAAATGGGGTATGGTATTGGCTGTTTTGTTCATTATGCTCCAAGTTCCAATTTCTACAAGAGCACTGAAATGCTAAGATAAAAGGATGTTAAGTTTATTTAATTAGCTATCTGCCATTGTTATCAAAAGGGAAGGTTGGTATCTGACTCAAATTAACACTTTAGATCAGGAAACAAGACAGATGATATCTTCTGACAAAGATCCTGGAAACTGTAATTGTTTCCGTTATTTTAAAGCTGCTTAGGACATACAGGATTGCATTAGAAAGACCAAAAGTCACCAAGAGCCAACAAAGTGCTGCTATGAAAATGTTATTTCAATCACACTTGGGTTCTTTCTCATTTCCAGTAGTTAACATTCTTGCCACTTTTGTCAAGCAGTCACTCTTAGCAGCATTGAATTTTAACTACACGTATTTTTAAACCAGCATGAAATAGGACTGAGGACATAATATGGGTTCGACGTGCTAATGAACATCAGATCAGGCCCCTGTGCCAAGGCAGCACCTCTCTGCTATCCAGGTAAGCTGTAACTGTTAAAGGTGAGCTGGATTTCAGAGCTGCCAGCCATCCCTCTGCCTCAGAAAGAACAGCTCCCCCAGTTTAGAGTGGTTTGGGATCTACCTCAAAAGAAAGCAAAGACAGTGTGAAACTTCAGAGGTCCTGAAGAGTTTTAAGTGTGGATTACACAAACCAGAGCCATGGGTGTCAACTGTGGGACTGCCCAGAGGATGCAGTGTCTGGATGAAGCCCTCAAAGCCTCACTTCCTAAACTGCACCTGTATAGAGAGGCCAATGGCCAAAGCAATTTATCCAGTAGCCACATCACCCTGCCATTACATGGTTTCTTTCTGTAAGGGCTACAGAAACAAACTTATTCCTTTCCCAAAAACTTACTGGTCTTGATCGGATTTCTTTGGCGTAGAGAGGTTTCAAGAATTCTGAATCTCCTTCAAGCTTCAGACCCTTTTCTGTGATCCTCAGGTTCCCCATTCCATCCTGAAAGACAGGCAAAAAAGAAACAACCCTATTAGTTACAATTACTAAATTCACCAGGCTGCCAATAGCTGATTTTTCCCATTGAAGATAACATGTATAGCACTGGGAGGCACTAGAGAATGCAATTACTTGTGTTATGCTTGTAGCTCAGTTTCTGTGGAGAAAAAAAATTCTATTCAGAACTATCTGCAATGCCCCCCAGTAAACCATTTACACAGATGAAAGATGTTCCTTTAAGCTAAGTCATTCTCTACTCACAGAGAGGCAGTGATGCTCTGTGTTAACAGGAAACTATTCACTGTAATATTCACTGCCTGCCTTTATAATATAATAATATACCTGCTCATTCAGAGCAAATCCCTGTAAAGAATGTCTGATTAATATCTGTACAGATACACTCAAACAGAGAACTGTACCAAAATATATTTCACCTCTGACACATGAAAGTTCTAATTTTTATTAAGATGAGGGATTTAGCTTCACTTAGGCTGTAAGTGCTTAGGAAGGGTGTGCAAGAAACAGTGTGAGTAGGAAATTGCACAGGTACATTTATAATCAAAACCACATCAAATGTAAGGTATTATTTTCAAGATTCAGGGTGATTGTCAAAGTTTGCAAGGACTGAGGTAAACTGTTTTGTTCTGAGAAAAAGATGGTTTGAAGAATACGTTTTAGCAAAAAACTGACTGAAATCACCAGGATTAAGTAAAAGTAAAACTAGCACCTCCATGCCTAACTCACAGCTGTTTTGGGGATTTTGCAGGAAAGGGGAATACTTGGGTAGAAGGCATAAGAAGATCATAAGAGGAGACCAGGAAAATCCAGGAAAACCACGTGTGTTTGGATATACATCTAGCATGCTTCCCAATCCACAAAAATGAAACCCCACCTGTCTGCTTCCTCTTCCTCCCACTATGAGAGCACCTCCAGCCCCAGATGAGGAATCAGAGTCTCTCCAAGAGAGAGGAGATCTAACCCTGACAGATTTCCATGAGCTGCTGCCAAAGGCCTGAACGTGGAGGGATGAAAATCGGCGGCATCTCCCGGCTCAGCAGCAGCACTGGTCACCTGCCAGAGCTTCTCCTGTTCCAACAAGAGCCTTTCCCAGGTAGTTCCCTGCCAAGTTAAGACTGCCCTTGCCAGATCCTGGTGTCTCATGAACAAAGGTGATGCTGGTTGATAAAGTGACCGCTGTCATCTCATTTTGGACTCAAGGCTGTGAGTGAATTTGAGAGACAGACGCTGGAAATGCTACTGAGATGGGTCATAAAATGCCACTCCCCACATTTGTTGGCCCCAGGTGTAAAATACTGGCCTATGAATTCTGGGTTGGTGGTGGCACAGAAGGGGTTCATTTATCTCAAGCGGCAGTTATGGCGGAAAATGAGTGAAATATGATTATTCACCAAAAAGCCCAGATTAAATTTTGATAGCAGTGTGCTTTGCGATTTCAGCGAGCAGGAATTATTACAGCTATCTACACACCCTCACACGGTCTGGGCTGCTAAAAAATCTCTACAGTTTTTTTTTTTTTTTTCCCCAAAATAGATTATCTCAGTAAGGTTACAAGCCCTGAGGGCTTTCACACAGCAGTGTCTTCTCTGGTTTTAATAAGGGAAGTTGCAGGTCAGGCAAGCAGCTGTGTGCCCCAGCCAGCTGCAAGAAGGACCAGCTCTGTGGACATGCAGTGCTGACCCCTCCAGGGCTGCCTCCTCAGCTGAATGGGGCAATACTTTTCCAGAACATGGACCTAGGGATAAAGAGGGACTTTTCAAGCCACCACTGAAGCTGTGGCAAGCCAGCAATTTCTATGACTCACAACCCTGTCCTGTTGTAATGACACAGACCCAGAATCCCACTCTGCTCTTCTCTTGTGTGTTTCTCTTTCTCTCCTTCACCCTCTGTCTCCCAAGTGTGGTCCAAAGGATTTTTACATATAAAAAATGTACATAAGGGGAGTTTAGCTGACAGCCAGCAGGTCCTACACACCCCAAAAGAGCTTATCAGGCCTATGGGACAATGTACTGCAACCAAAACACCAAGGACACATTTGATTAATCAAAGTTGGCGAATCCTCTTACAAACCCACTGGATTGGAGAGAAAGAGGCATTTCCCCATGCTTTTTTCTCAATCTTAGATCCGTCTCAACCTCCACTCCACTCACCTTTCCCTCCTCCTGCATCTGCCAGAAGCAATAAAAGCTGTGCCCACTGCAAATCCTCTTTTGACTTGCAGGTGTTTGGGAGTGGATCAATGCTTAGCACTGACTTAGCACCATTAACTCCCCACTGCTCATGTTTCTCATGATTAAAGCTGACAGTTTTTTGTGGTGACAGTCTGGCTCAGCAGGTGAAAAAACAAGTAAAGGTTGTGCCCTGAGTTTAACAAATATCTTGGCCTCTTATCATACAATCACTACAAAATTATATTCCTCTGTTATTTCCCATTAAATAAGAAGCTCTCAGGTTTATATAGAGGTCCCAAAATACAGATACATTAGAGAGAAATCATTGTTGGAAAGACTACTTCACATGTTGTTTTGGATAAAGTATCTTCATCCTCCCTAAATTATATGGTTTAATAACAAATAAATGTCATATTCTGCTACAGAGAATAGATATGAAAGTTCCTATGAAATTTCATGGACTGTGACCTATAAAATGTGGCAGAAAACTGCCTAGAGTGACAAAGACCAAGATGTTTTATTAAACGTTGTGTCTGTGACTGGTATATATCCTTATCTGCCACTCTTCTGCTTGTGAATAAGGAGAAGTATTGATTATTTCATACTCTGCCATCTGAAAATCATTGTTTCTCTCCTTTTTACTAATAGACTCTTCAGCAGAGTGAATGAATTTGTAGTGCAGGCACAAGCCTGGTTTGTGGGAGCTCCCAGGAGGGAAGTTCCAAACAGGAGGCACAGAGCTCCTCCTTCACCACCTGCAGTGAATTTTTCTGCTTTTTGGGAGGCCATGGCAAAAACTCTCACATCAATTACATCATTTATGCCCTCTCTCTTTTTATTCAGTGCCTTGTACTGGACAGGCATAAAAATTTATGTGCTCTTGCTGACTGTTCTGGGTTGAAAGGGGATAGCAATCCTGAATAACATAAATGTTATTTTGGTGATGCTGAATGAGAAAGGAATTTTGGATTTTAGTAGCTTGAGAAGCATCTCATTTTTACAGCCAATTAAGAATGATGGTATTACTGTTAGGGGAAGAGATCAGCATTGATGGTGTCTGATCACCAAAGCTCCTCTCTGCCTCTGCTTGGCAATGTGGCCACACAAGTGGCTAATGTCCAGTTTATATTTGTTTTACTTTTTAACAATTTGGGTTACTTTAATTTTACTTTTTTTAATTGCAAGGCTGGTAGCAGAAAGATCCAGCTAACAGAATAAGAAAAAACCAACCACCCTAACCAGAGACGTAACTGCTGTGATAAAGGCTTATACTGAGAGTAGGTTTAGATGAGATATTAGGAAGAAATTCTTCCCTGAGTGGGAAGGGAGGGTGATGCCCTGGCACAGGGTGCCCAGAGAAGCTGAGGCTGCCCTTGGATCCCTGGAAGGGTTCCAGGCCAGGGGGGATTTGGCTTGGAGCCACCTGGGATAGCGGGAGGTGTCCCTGCCCATGTTGGTGTGGAACACAATGGTTTTTAAGGTCCCTCCCAACCCAAAATTTTCTGTAACTCCTCAATAAATACCTGGGATTGGTTCTGGCTGCACTGACCTGGGTTGATCCCACACAGGGGCAGGGGGAAGTTTCAGTGCTGTCTCATTCATGGGCAGCTTTATGAGACCAGGCTGGGCTCACGCTGCAGCTTAACCTGCTCAAGAGCCAAGGTGACAGTGACACACAACCCCTGTGTCCCTTGGGCCAGGATCCTCTGTCCTTCACAAACACAAAAAGCAGCCTCAAACTCTTCTGTGCTTCCCTCTGCTCTCCTGGCACTGCTGAACAAATATCCTGTTTATTGAGGTCTTTCTAAGGATTTTTTAAGGACACTGGTGACAGATTGCTCCAGCTCTCCTGGCCACCACCAGCTCCAGTGGTTGTTTCCCACTGGTTTTCCCTGCACCTCCCTCCCTTTCCAGTTTTCAGGAGGAGAATGGTTGCCAAGGTTTGTCTCTGCACAGCAGGTAAGCATTTATTTTTTTTGCTAGGAATAAACTGAAGTTATGTTCAGCAATGTCCTGTGGGAGAGAATTATCTTTGGAGACTGCTTGTGTCAGATGGCTGAAACACCTGATTATTGTTGCTTGTATTATTGATTGCTGTGCTCTGCATTGCTTCCAGATATGTGCAAGTTATTACACAGCTCAATACATCCAAAGTTAGGAAAAAAGCCCTCAGCAAAGGCAAGTGACCTCGTTGGTTTTTTTCTCCCTCCTGGGAGGATATCTGTACTGTCCTTTTCTCTCAGACATGATAATAAATGTTTCCAGATTCCAGGTACAAAACACATCATTGCCAGTTCTTCACAGGCTCAAACTTGTTCTAATTGCATCTGCCCTCCCTTCCTTCTCCTCATTTTCTTCAGCTAATTCATCATCTTAATAAGGATCCCAGTATCCAGCTGTGGATCAGCAGCAATATTTTCCTATGGAAGACACCTACCAGCAGCACCAGTCCTATAAAATTAAATCTGGTTATACAGCTTGGTCCAGAGAAACACAGGTAAGGAGATAATGTGTGAAAACTTCTTCCTCTGGCGTAAGACCTTGCTTTGAGACAGTTTGTGTGGCCAGCAGAGAAAACCACAGCAATGTAGCATTACACAGCATATATGACCACATGGATCTGAGTGCACAGATCCAGGATTATGCTGTGAATTGCACTGTGAGGTCCCATGTCCATCACTGCCATCACCTCCCTCCCTCCTCCTCTGCTTCCTGACCTCAGATGTCCCTGTCTGATGCCTTGGTGGTAGCATTTGCCTCTAAAGGTGACAGGCACAGGGCAGGAAAACTGAGCTGAGACTTCAGGGGGTGAAG